TTAGAATGAACTTGGAAGTGTCCTCTCCTCTTCAATTTTTGGAAGAGTTTTAGCAGGGTTGACATTAATTCTTTAAATGTTTGGTAGGATTCACCAGTGAAGAGAAATATCTGGTCCTGGCTTTTCTTTATTGGGAGGTTTTTGATTACTGATTCAATCTCCTTACTTGTTATTGGTTTGTTCAGATGTTCTATTTCTTCATGATTCAGTCTTGGTAGGTTATATGTTTTTTGGAATTTATCCATTTCTTGTAGGCTGTCCAATTTGTTGGCATACAGTTCTTTCAGCTTCTTAAAATAATACATGTGATTGCATTTAGGGCCCACCCTGAAAATATAGGCTAATCTCCCCCAGCTCGAGATTCTTAAATAATCACATATGAGCTGAAGTGTGTCCCGCCCAAATTCATATGTTGAAGTCCTAACCCCAGTACCTCAGAATATGACTGTGTTTGTTGATAAAGTTTTTAAACTAGGTTAAAATGAGGTCATTAGGATGGAACCCAGTCTAATGAAACCAGTGTCCCTATAAAAAAGGGGAGATTAGGACATAGAAATGCACAAGGGAAGACCATGTGAAGATACACGGAGAAAGTAGCCATCTGCAAACCGAGGAGGGAGGTCTCAGAAGGAACCAACCCTCCCAACACCTTGATCTTGGACTTCCAACCTCCAGAACTGTGAGGAAATCAATTTCTGTTGTTAAAGTCACCCAGTCTGTGGTACCTTGCTATTGCAGCCCAAGCTGACTAATACAGTAATATTTATAAGGCTCCAGGGATTAGGCACCGGATATCTTTGGGCTAGTAACAGCACACTTGTTTATCATCTCTCTACCAGAGTGTATAACTAATGAAAGCAGGGAGTTTATTGATTTTGTTCTTAAAACAGTGTCTATCCTCAGGGAGTTTACATTCTCATATAGAGAGTTTAAAAAAAGAAGGAAATCTACTTTGCCATGTGGGTGCTCTGGAGAAAGAGAAAGCAGGGGCAGGTGAGAGAGTGGTGCACAGGGAAGGGTACAGTTTGCAGTTTTAGAAAGGGGATAGGGAAGGACCTTCTGAGAAGGTGACATCTGAGTCAAGACCTGAAGGAGATGAGGGAGCCAAGCATGTTGATAGCTGAGGAAAGAGCCTTCTGGTCAGGAAAGACAGCAGACATGGAGGCCTGCAGTAGGGGCCTGCTGCCTACAGAAAGGAGAGCATTGTCTGGTGGAGAGCTGAGTAGCAAGATGTGAAGTCAAAATAGCTGGTGCAACTCAGGTAGGGGCTTCTAGGCCATTGAAAGGCTGCTGGCTTTGGGCCTGAGTGAGATGAGAGCCATTGCAGGATTTTGAGCAGGCGCATGACCTGAATTTACTTAAGTTTTAAGAGAATTGTTTTGGCTGCTGTGTGGAGAGAAGGCTGCTTGGAGATCCAGGGCAGAGTCAGGGAGCCAGTTAGGAAGCTGTGTAGTAATCCAGGGACCAGGGCATGGCCCCTGGAGGTTGTGAGAAGTGGCTGGATTCTGCATATCTTCTGAAGGTAGATTCACCACAGGATTTGCTGGCCAATCTGTGAAGGGGAAGTGGGAGGAGAGGACCCAGAGATGGCTGCAAGCTACCAGCCTGACCCACTGGAGGTGCTATTTACTGAGCTGAGGAAGGTGAGGATAGGGGGTGGAGTGGGGAACCATGCTATTCAGGGATGCCCATGAGGCTTCCAGGTGGAGACACAAGGATGGGCCTTGGGTGTGCAAGTCCGTAGCTCAGGGGTGAGGTTGATGCTGGAGGGGCCAATTTGGAGTCACCAGTTCATAGGTGGTAAATAAAGCCATGAACTATAAGAAACCAAAGCAGGGATGCCCCAGTGGGGACTGGCCAACTTTTGGAGGCCAGAGAACTGAAGAGGGACCAGCAAGGGATATTTTTGTTGAAGGAATAAGTGAATGAATGAATCTCCTTTGCCACGACTCTTGGGCAGGCTGTCGCTCCTCACTGATTGTCACAGCAGCCCCCCGTGGGTGTCCATGAACCCACCTTTCTACCAAGTTCATATCCATCCTCCATCTTTCCTTAGCTCTGCCCCGTCTCACTGGGCACTCTCACTGTCCTGCCCTCTGGGCCTTTACACAGGCTGCTCTCCCTGCCCGAAAAGCACGCCCCTCATCCCTGCTTTGTTCTTTGCCTGATAAATTGCTTTTTGCGCTCTACTATCCTCTAGAAAGCTGTCTCTGAGCATCATCCCATCCCCTTTCTCTTTTCATCCCAATTTCTTCTGGCACTGCCTGGGTCCTTGCGAACAAATGCCAGACAGTACAGTCTGCTTACTCCACCCACACTCCCAACAAACAGCTCCCTTGCCCCCTCCTGACTTAGGGGTGTGTCACTGGCCATGGGGTCTTCCCTCAGGAGGTCAGATGCAGGCATGAGGCCATGTGGTCCCTGGAAGTGGACTTGGTGGTTTGGGGAAGGAATTCCAGAATCTGGTATCCAGAGTGTAGCAGAGTGTAGTCTAGAAGGGAGTTGTAGGCATGTCCCCGGGTCCCATGGATTTCTGACGCCAAAGGGAGGGGGATGTCCCTGGGTTGGGCATATCTAAGAGTGGTACTGAATCTCCCAGGGCCACCTGCAGGTGACATTTGTTATGTTTTATAAAGAAGTGAAGCGGTGCCTTACATGGCCGTGTGTGAGGTGGATGTTTTAGAGGAAAACACGTCTTCTCGTTTTCTTAGATAGGGCCATTTTCTCCTTTCTGTATGGCTGTTCACCAAGGCCAAGAGTTTAGTCTAGATAGAAGGGTCACTTTTGTTTACTCCATCCCTCCAGCTGCACCCTCAGAGGCTGCCCACCAGGCCCTGTGCTCCCCTTAGTCCTATGGGACGAGAGCTGGGAAGGTGTTGCTGGGTAGGGGAGCCCACTTCCAGAGGAGACCCACTGTGGGCAGGTGTGTGTGGAGCTGGCCAGCCCTGCTTCCCCTACAAAGGGGCTTTCATTGTTAAAGGACATTCTGAACTTGGAGAAGGATCATACACCAGAAGCCAACAGCAGGGGATTCTGGTAAGCAGCTCCCAAATACATTTTGAACAGTGGAGGTTCCCCAAGGTCGAGCCCTGTTCCCTACCTGGGCCAGGAGTGGATGGCAGACGAGGGGATTACAAAGGGGGCCAAGACACAGTTTCCTTTAAAATGTTTTCATTTATTAGTCTTTTTTTGAAGCAGTTAATTCTCTTTTTTTTTTAATTAAAAAAAAAATGTGTGTTTCATCCAGAGTTATACCAAAGTGATTAAAATGACATTTCTACTGGGGATATAGCTCCCCAGATCAGAAAAAAAAATTTTTTCAATTAACCACAAAAATAAAATCAAGAAAAACATCAACAATCAAAAATAATCCCCAAATATCCAGGACAAAAAATAAAATATTTATTGATCTATCACAGCGAGACACAAAGAGATGGGTGGGACAGGGGTGGGAAATGCTGTGAAGTACAGTGGCTCGAGGGAGGGACAGGGGATACAGTACTGCGTGGGGGGGACCCAGGTTAGGGAGGAGATTCCTGCCGCCCCAGCTGGCATAGCCCCTCACACCCCGGGCCCCTTTGTAGGGGTGTGTGTGGTGGAGCGAAGGCAGGGCATAGGCTGCCAATACAGGTTAACCAAGTTGATGGTGGGGATGCCCAGCCAGCTAGTGGTACCAGGCAGTCAACTGAGGACAAAGATGGATGGATGGATAGATGGACAGATGGGCGGATGAATTCCACAAGAGAAAGAGGGCTATTCCCATTGGGGTTCTTCTGATCTGAAGGTGCCCCAGACATGGGGAATAGTGATTGGTGGGGAGAAAGGGGGCTAAGAGATGGTGTGACCGAATCCAGCTTGAGGTTTTCGATGCTTGGGTACCAACTGGACCACAGCCAGGGGTGGGTCCTGGTGGGCAGGGGGAGGTGGGACTGCCCAGGAAGTATCTGCACCATTTTCAGAGGAGCCCCAGGGAGGGGGCTTCCCGAGGGGCTGCCCTTCCCTCCTCCCTCCCCCAGGAAGATGAAAGCACCAGCACTTAGCACCGAGTTGCCCTGGAGATGGAGAGTGTGTGGAGGGGGAGCTCCTTGGTGGGAAGGGGGTGGGGGAGGGGGCT